TGCATAAAGCAGTTCCATTGGCAAGATTTTGTTAGAGAAGAGCTGGGTGAGTTTTCATAGGCCTCCCCTGTGATTCAGGTGCAAACACTTGGTTGTTTCGGGATCTTGGTTGAGAGGTGTGAGCCAGCATTTGCTTTTGTGTTTTCCCCTTCGTAGTGTTCGCCCTTCCTCACCTCTCGTGTGCAATGCAGAGCAACAAGAAACAATAGCACGTGGCTGAAACTCTATAATAAAAATAGTTTTGATACATCTTTAATGTAAAAATGTGCCATAATTTTCTAGTGAATAAGACTTTGCTGTATCTACTGATAGGACTTTGATGTATGAGCAAACTGTGCACTTGTTTATCCTTCTCAAAAAGAGAAAAAAGGCTGAATATAGATTTTTTTTTTTTTTGCTTTAAAAGAGGGGAAAAAATGAATGCAATCCCATCGGAGAAAAAGAAACAAACTTAATCCTCCTGAAGAACAGATTTGGACAAAATCACATAAAAATGAAAGATTTATTTTGCAGGGAAGAAAGAACTCCATTTCAAAGCTTCTACCTAGCACTGCTACAGAAAACCTCAAGGAGAGGCTTATCTTGTCTATCTGATTGAGCATGTAGATATTATACTGCTGCTGGGATAGAGATTGTCTTTTGTAAACGATTTAATACACCAGCAGAACTTACTCACCCACTGTTTGCCAAGGTGGAGTCATATCTTGCAAGTTTCTTAACCACAAAAAATAACACAAAGATGCAAAAATAAGGTGGAGGGATTAGCTAAAGAACACATATGCATAGCCCATGGACACAGACTATAGTGTGGGGGGGGCCAAGGGAGCGGGCGGTGCAGGAGCTGGGTGGAGGCTGGCAAATGGGAGGCATCTGCAATAGTGTCAACAATAAAACAATTTAAATTTAAAAAAAGGTACATGAGGCCAGATACATGGGCATGGCATTCCCAGACCAAGTGGCAGAAAAGCTGGCTGATGGGATGGAATCTCCTCTAGTCTGTCTGTCTAGCAGAAGCAAAGCAGGGAGGAATCAGCAAGAGGACCGGAGAGGAGTCAGTTTGCAGAGCTGTGAATCCCAAATCACCTGGAGCCTCTGGGTGCAAAGAAAGAGAGTTCTGTTTGCTCCTATGTAATAGAGAGGAAGGCAGCTACTACCTGATACTTGGGAAAAGATGTAGGGAGAAGCTGAGGAGGTTGGGGAGGGACAGCAGACAGAAAAAGGAGAGGGGGTGAGAATGAAGGGCATTCTTTCAGCATAAACAAACACTCCCCCAAGGCTCATCTTAGGTTTGCACGCTAACGAAGGGCAGGACCAGGGCTGTGTGCACCACCTAAGGAGGACACGTTGCATCTCAAGTAAATAATTTGCAACAGGCTAATGTTTACAACCATTTCCATGAAAGCCTACAGAAAACTCTCTAAAATGAAACTATGCGACTAAAAGGAACACAACAGTTATTGCTAAAATCCAGGGGATTGTACAGGCGTGTTAAAGAGAGATGGGGACAAGAAGCGAGATGGGAGCTGGAGGGCCCTAGAGAGTGTAGGAATGGTGGGAGCAGAGAAGCCAGGGGAACTCATGTTCACTGAAATAACAGACATTAACATTAAATGGGATAACATGCAGCCATAGTAACTCCTTAAATGTTTGTGAACTGAGGAAAGGAAGCACCGGGGCCACCAAGAATGGTGATACGGGGTGTATCCTGTCCAGGACTGACCTACTGAGTCCCTGCCACTGTGCTGACATACAGAAGTCCCCCCTTATCTGTGGTTTCAGTTACCCATGGTCAACCTTGGTTCAAATATATTAAATAGGAAACTCCAGAAATAAATACATACGTTTTAAACTGCGTACTATTCTAAGTAGCACAATTAAATCTCGAGCTGTCCCGCTACGTCTCACCTGGGGTGGGAATCATCCCTTTGTCCAGCCCATCCACAATGCATACACTCCTTGCCCATTTCATTAGTCACTTAGTAGCCCTCTCGGTTATCAGATTGACTGTCATGGACTCACAGTGCTTGTGTTCAAGTAACCCTTATTTTATTGTAATTTTTCTCTTTCATTATTATTGTTGTTAACCCCTTATGGTGCTTAATATAAAAATTAAACATTATCATAGGTACATACATGTAAGAAAAAAACATAGTATATATAGGATTTGTTAACTATCCACTTCAGGTATCCACTGGGAGTCTTGGAATGTATCCCCCCGGATAAGGAGGACTACTGTATCTATATAATCCTCACGAGAACCCTACAGTCTAAATGATATTACATCAATTTGTAGATAGGAAACTGAAACTCAAAGAATTTATACTACTTGTATAAGATCTCCAAGGTAAATATTAAAAGCAGAGTTCTAATTCAATGTCAGATTAGCTTAAAAGTCATGATGTTAAAAGCTGAGGGAACTGAAACTGACTTTTAAAAATACATTAATGAATGTAATTTATTATTTCCAGTTTTTTAAAAATGTTATTTCCCTCTATACTGCTTTTACGCAATAGATTCATTTATGGTATGACAGAGGAGGTAAGGGTTTGTAAAATTGAAAAGAAAAAATAAATCTGAGCATATTAAAAGCCTGCTGCTATCTTTTAGCAGTGGTCAATTAACCATTATAAGCAAATGATTCCCCAAAGGAGTTTGTATGGTGGCAACATGGTATGGATATGGGTAAATGAATTTCAGTGTACAAACTATCAAAAATGAGTTTTGGGTCCAACCAGGCATAGCTCAGCAGTTGAGTATCGACATAAGATCCAGGAGATCGAAGTTGGATCCCAGTCAGGGCACAGGCCTGGGCTGCGGGCTCGATCCCCAGCTGGGGGCATGCAGGAGGCAGCCGATCAATGACTCTCTCATCACTGATGTTTCTCTCTCTCTCTCCCTCCATTCCTCTCTCTAAAATCAATAAAGATATATATGTATATATATATTTTTTAATTGAGATTTGGAAAACCCACTTGTTCCCTGGCCCCACCCAAATCTCCAAATGATTGTCACGACAATCAGTGGAAGGGTGAAGCACTACTTCAGATGCTTATTGTTGTCCTGGTTTCCACCTTAAATTATTTCACCTCTGTAGTCTCAATTCATCTTCTGTAACTCAGGTGAAAATATTATCTGCAATCATAAACTATTTTAATAAAATTTAAAATATATTCATTTCGAGCTATTGTATAAAGAAAAGTGCTACTCTTAGCTCATTTTTTCTATAAAGGAAGGAAACTTTTTAAAGAAGATGTCTGATGTTGGGTCATTTGTGCATCTGATATAAACTTTGTTTGAAAAATATTTGATTTTAAAAGTAATTACTAAAATTGCTGCTAATGAGAATAACCAAAGAATTTATACACACATATGCATAATCCATGGACACAAGCAATAGTGTGGTGAAGGACTGGGGCAAGGCAGGTGCAGGGTGTAGGGGGTCAATGGGAAAAAGGGGGACATCTGTAATACTTTCAACAATAAAGATAAATTTAAAAAAATAAAAATATAAAAAATAAAATTGTTGCTAATGAAAGTGTTGCTTGCCTGGAATTTCATCTTAGGCATAGAAATGATATGATAGAGGTCCTGAAAGAGGGTAGGTTTTCTGGCTGAGGACTTTTGGTCAACAGTGCAAAAGCAGCATGTGCTGGTGGAAACCGTTGTGGACAGAGAATTAGAAAAACTGAACACTTTTCCTTGATTTTGCTGTTAAATAGATGTGAGACCTCAGCTATACCACTTTCTTTTCTAGTGTCTCTTTTTTTTTTTAAACCCACATGACAGTGATGCCTTCCCCCTCACATTTTACATTACTGTTATCAGCACCGAAGAGGACACTCCTAAGAGAATCCAGGACTTGCCCCAGAATCTGGCCATTGTTCTAAATTAGCTTTATGCAATTTTTCTCAGTGACATGTGTCTAATTTAGTTTGGTTAACTTCATTTGACTTCTTTAGATCTGTTAAAAGAAAATGTATTTGCCCGGCCAGGCGTGGCTCAGCGGTTGAGCATCGACCTAGGATCCGGGCGATCAGGGTTCGATTCCGGGTTAGGGCACATGCCCGGGTTGTGGGCTCCATCAATGACTCTCTCATCATTGATGTTTCTATCTCTCTCTCTCCCTCTCCTTTCCTCTCTCTGAAATCAATAAAGATATATTAAAAAAAAGAAAAAAAGAAAATGTATTTATCTTTTATATTTGTTTATTATCACTTAAGTGTTCTGCCTCTAATAAGTTGTTGGTTCTAGAATATTAAGACCCCCTCCCAAAAATAGTTAAAATTTCATTTTTCCATCCAGCCACCCATCATCCATCCACACATCCATCCACCCATCCAATCCACTCATGCACTCATTGTACATATATTGAATGCCTACACTGCGCAAAGATTGTGCCAGTTGCTGGCCATTGCACTATTTCAACAATGCACGTGAGGGTAAAATTCGTATGTTTAAAACTGCTGCTCAGTTTGTTGAAAAGAAAAGCTGACAGTGGCAAGTCCCCCAGACTCTGAGAGTGTTTAAAAACAAGCCCATGGCTCAGTTCTCTTCTGTCCCAAAAGAGCCTTCTGCCCCTTGAAGGCCCTGACAGATGCTGAGAAGTTGGAGCAGGATTGAGTGGAACCTTAAAGAGCTAGTCTTCCATTTTTTCATCATGTATCAGAGGGAATCTTTATGGCTGTTCCAGAATAGACTAACTCTATAGGTTGTTCAACTGGTGAGAGACAGATAGGTTTTATCAGGACAATCTCTTCCTACTCTATACCTTAAGGCAGAGATAAAGTTAAGATTGGGAGTCTTTTACGTTCATTTCTTAATGTGACTGCATTCTTAAATTAAGAGAACCCTTAGGGTAAAAAATGTATCAAATAGATTTTCTACAGAAAAAAATATCCTGTTGGATAACATTTTATAAAATTGTCTTCTTCTGTAGGTTTTGCAGTGAATCGTTTTCCATTCAAGCAGGTCCCATACAGCTATTTCTCAAAATGTCTTACCTTGTCGCTGCTTTTCCACATAGTGGGAAACATTGAAGATGAGCGATAGAACCAGAGCTAAAACCAAGGAGGCTATAATTGCCCAGACATAAAACTGGCATTCAGAGTTTCCTGCAAAGCAAAGCAAACATAACCTTAATATAGGTACTGGACTTATTGGGGGAATCACTTTGTAAATTATATAAATGTCTAATGGCTACGCTGTTCATCTTACACTAATATAATATTGAATGTCAACTGTAATTAAGTAAGTAAACAAATAAAATGTGCTGTCAAATAAAACAATATATAGTAGCTACTCTCTATTTGTTTTGAACTGGGTATTTCCACAGTTAAAACTACTGGATTTATTTACAATGAAAGACAAATCCTCTGCCAAGAAATTAATTAACATTGAAAGCCAAAGGCTTTTTACAGATTTCAAAATGGGTATTGGTGAAGGTCCCTGAATTCAGCATGGGCAAAAAGAAGATTCTTAGTGTTAATGGCATGGAAGACATTTTTAGTCCAGCTACTAAAAGTTGACAACTGGTGACTGACTATAAAAACTTTGGTTCAAAATCAAGAACATCCAAACTACCCAAAATCATAATTTTCTATACCTCTGTCCCTTCTTTCATCCTCAGACTATAATCATATTTGCTTTCATTATTTACTGAAAATGACTTACTCTCTTCTATTTTCCCCAGTAGTATAGGATACTGTGTGTTGGGATAAAACAATAGTTCTGGAATCACAGTAACCCAGTTTTGACAACACTGGCCATACGGAACTTTTCTCATGTTTTAGATCCCCATGAATGGAGAGTAGATTATGCTTCCCTTTCTCATCTGTGAAGGCTTCTTTTTTCATTCCTGAGCCATAAAGGGGGTTCTGTGGGATATTGCCTATCAGTTGCCCTTGATTATTTATGGCAATCTTTACACATATGAGTGACTATTAAGATAATTAGCTTAATTTTATGTATTTATAATATAATATATAGTATACATAAATTATACAACTTACTATATTTAAAATCATTTATATCTATATAATATATAAATATATGTATATATTATATATTAGCTTAATTATCTATAGTAACCTAATATATATTATTTATTATATATTATAATATATATGAGCCCAATTTTATAGCCTTTATATTATAATATACATATATACAGTTAGGCTAATTATATTAGTAGTGATATACCCATATGAATGCTGAACCTAGAAAAGTAGCTTGTGATTCTACATTACTGTATATTTATGTATTCAACCAGTATTAATGAGATATCTCTTCTGTGCCAGGAACTATGCCCTATATCAGGGAATCAAAGATAAAGAAAACAGCATCTTGTCCTCCAGGAACTCCGTTTAGTTGGGGGTGGTGTGGGGGTGGGGGACATGGATGTGTAAACACACCATTAGAAATGCAATGTGTAAATAGCTACAACAGGGATTGTGTTCCTTCCAGGCACAACTCTCTGTGACTACCAAGAAAAAGAAACCATTTTAGGATCTTGTACCCTTTGGGACAGCATGGATGAAAAATTATGCCAAGTGAAATAAGCCAGGCAGAGAAAGACAAATATCACATGATCTCACTTATATGTGGAATCTAAAGAATATAATTAACTGATGAACAAAATAGATTCAGTAACATAGAAGCATGGAACAGACTGAGGGATCTCAGAGGGAAGGTGGGCGCAGAGAGATTAACCAAAGAATTTATATGTATGTATGCATAACCCATGGACACAGACTATGGTGTGGTGGAGGCTTGCGGTGGGGAGGGGTGTGGGGTGGAAGGGGTCAATGGAGACAAAAAGGGACATCTGTAATATTTTGAACAATAAAAATAAATAAATTAATTAATTAATTTTTAAAAAAGGAAACCATTTTAGACCCTTTCAAAGAAATCTAAATAGTGACCTTAAACACAACAAAAAAGCAAGCAAACCCTTAACAGGAGGGAAATTCGTTTTGCTTCCCTAATCTGTCTTTAGATCATCCAATAAAGACTACCTAAACCCAAGTGTTCTTTGTGCTGCTCTATCTTTGTCTCAAATTTGACGTTTGAATTGCTAATTGTTTTCTTTGAATACTTGTTGACATTGCCTTGGTGGTTGAACTGCCCTAAGTAGTCCTGTGTATGTTAGTTGGCTTATTTATTTATTGGCATCATTTATTTTTAAATGAATATAAACATATAGATGATTAAATATATCAAATGTACATATGTATTTATGATATAGATGTACATATGCATATATGCATATAATTTGCATATCACTTATTCTTATATACACTGCTTTTGTTTGTATTAGTCGGTGGCTCATATAACACCAGCAAATCTTTCTGCTAATGTTTGCTACCTCCTCTTTAGTTTTGCACCACGTTAGATGTTCAAAGTACTGCAAGTTCCACAAAGAATAGGACGATTTCTGCCTCTACCCTGACGTGCCAGACATAGAGTATATGATTTATAAAAATGTTTCAAGAATTAATTAATAAATTTTTCCAAATATTAATTAATTAATAAATGGTAGGAAACTGTGTGGTTTTCTTTTCTTTAAGGGAATTTTTATACTTCAGAAAGTATAAGAAAATCGAGAAGACTGGAATAGTCTTTCATCTTCTGCAATAGACCTACCAATTAATTTGGTTAAAAACACTAAGGTTTGGAAGGGGCTAATTTATTCAACAAGAACATAATCTTGTAAATATTTACGAGACTTCTACAATAATATTTATAAACTATTTTAAATATAATAATAATTCTAGGTATTGTATGATGCTGCATATATTCCTAGAATTATTTATTTGATATTTATGTTTAAAAACCACAAGTGCCTGCTGAGAGTAAATTTTAAAAATTCCAGCAATACTAAAATACAAAATAACACATAAAGTCCTCTATTAAAACATAAATGCGACACTAATATTACACTAATTGGCCTTTAAAAAAAACTTACGAGCGTGTTTGGGGGATTTTTACCATGCTAGTATGTTAATTTAAGTGGGTGCATGGAATTCCACAGTATTTGCTGTAATAGAATTCATCTACCCATTTCTCTAAGATGGATATACTAATGTTTTAAAATGTTTTTCTCCTATAAACAAAACGCAAGAAACTCCATTGTACAGACATTTTGCACATATGTGGGTTATTTGTAGAAGAGGTTCTTGAGAATAGATTTGTTGTGTCAATGGGAACTTTTAAAGCATGCTTTCAGGGAGAGATCGATCCCCACCTCCCATTGATAATAATCCTTTTCAGGTGGTTGATTTAACATAATTGGGCAAAATGGGGCCAGCAAGTTGTCTCACTTGCCAGATGGGTCTCAGTTTCCCTTCTTGCTGTCATAATACAGAAATTTTACAGAAATATTAATTTCTGGTGTCTATTATTAAATTAATGGCTTTATTTTTAAAGACTTCTCTTCTTTTCTTCTTGCGTATGTCACTTAAGGCCCACAGTCTAGGTACAGTTCTAAGTTCTTTCACATTTTAAAGCACACTGTATTTTCTATTGAGATATATCACAACGATCATTTCAGGTTATTCAGGCAGCCAGAGTAGACTGTATTCATTCACCCTCTACAGTCACTGTATTTAGTGGCATTTAAATAAGTAAATTTTAATTGTTACAAAGAAGGCAGATGTATTATACACACCATCGATGTTCAATGTTGAAAAACAATTAGTAAACTCAGAGAAGCAAAAATAAAAAGATCAGTATCAACCACAATTTTATCAAGAGACAATCACTGTGAACACCTTGATTAATATACTTCCAAACTTGTTATTCTCTATGTAGGAATTGTTACAGATGAAGACATAGGATTCAGTTATACTGGCTATAGTTATCTACTTTACCCCCAATAATTTCATAGTGTGCTCCTTTTCCTATAAACAAAATATGCTTCCATTTCTTTTAGCTGCCCTATCTTCCATTGTATGAGTTTTCCATAATAGATTTAAATAATTCCTTATTGTAAGATATTTAAGTTGCTTCTAATTTTTAGCTATATAAGCAACGTTGTGATGAATATCTTTAGCTAAAACTATATAACCACCTTATTTTTTTAGGTAAAAATTCTTGAAGATGAATTGCTGGATTAAAGAATATACACATCTTAATATCTTGATGTCCAAGGTTTTAAACAACAATACTAAGCAAACCGTTCTCAGGTGTCTGCCCTCTTTCCTATTAGTTCAACCGGCCCTGACATATGTTTATAACTCTTTAGATTAATCCACACTACATCAGCCACCATTCAGGATCTAGCTCTATCCTTCTATACACTGTCCTCGTATATTCCCCTCCTCCATGATTTCTGGAGAAAGTTGTTTCTTTGTCTTTCTGGAGTCTGACATAGGTCCTTCCAAAGAACCTACCTGTTCCTATTTCTGCCCTAAAATTGGAGAACATCCCACTTTTCTTTCCTTACCACGAACTAGTTCCACAAAATGTTATTTCAGGTTTCCTATATCTTTTAAGGTGTATCTGCTATACCCACCTAATAGTACACCACGCTCCAATCATTCTAAAGCACTTGCAATTTTCAGTAGATACCATACTTACCATTTCATGTCTTTACGTCTGTGTACTTGCCCCTTTGCCTGAAATACCTCTCCCTTACCCATCGGATGAGTTCCCAGCCATCCTTCAAGACCACCTTCTCTTGGAAGCATTCACTCAGTGCTTCCTGTCTCCCACCAAGTGACATCCCAATGTCCCTCTACATTTCAACAAGTATTGACATAATCATTTATATATAAATATCTCTCCCCAATAGACTCTTAAGTTCCCAAAGGACAGAAAGACTATGATATTTATCTTCATCTTCATGCCTCATTTCTTCATTGTACCTATTATTATAGGGATTAAATGAGTTAAGACATGCAATGAGATTTGGAGAGTAGTCTTTCTCACTAATATTTAATGCTTAATGTTTAATAAATATTAGTTATTGTTCTTTTTATTATTATCTTACTGCTAGTAAGGCTCCTACCATCATTTCTGCAACCTATTTAGCACAAAGTAGGTGCTCACTAAACATGTGTCAACTATAGAGTTGACAACAAGTAAAAAGTAGAGTAAAGAAGAGTAATGTAATGGCTAGGGCCAACAGAAAGATCCCAATCAAGTGTGAGGTCTAGAAATGCCCACAACCCAAGGAAGACAAGTTGAAGATTTATTACATTTGTCTCCAGTGCTATTGAGAAAAGACCTTCCTTCCAGAAGCTGGGAAATAGAACCGGGAGAGAAGAGTAACTCATTAGGCCGCTGTGGCTTTGGTGAATGTTCTCATCAAGACATACTAAACCAGTTTTCCTCTAATGTTAGCGAACCCTTTTATTTTCCAAGATTTTTTTCCTTTTGTAATGTGATCTGAGTTTTATATAGCAGATTTTCATTTAGAAGCTTTGTATTTCATGGCTTCCTTAATGTCTTTCGTAATCTTTGATTGCCAACAATAAATATCCCCATTTTGCAAAACAAAACAAAACACACACAGATAAGAAGATACTGAGTAGCTAAATGGTGAAGATTTTCAACTTGAAAGGCAAATCTTTATGAATGTTCACACACACACATACTTCATCCCTCCCTTACCTAGTTATTTTCTATATGTGATATAAATATTCCCAGATCCCTCTTATAATATTGAATGCACAAAGTGCTCAAAAATTTTTGCCCAACAAATGCAATCTTTAGTATCATATTTATTCATTGTAATTACTTTCATTTGTATAGCTTTTATCAATTTAAAAAGAACTACATAATTTGAATTTAGCTATTTACACTGTTAAAAAGCCAAAGGCCTCAAGAAGTTATTAGTGAGGCAATGACAACCAGGAAAACCATGGTTTAAGTTTCAATCTAGCTTTCAACTGCCAGAGGCTAAGAGAGATAGGTTTAATTATAAGACTTCTTTCTCCCTTAAAGCCAATATTACTTGGCAGGCACTGTATTTAAAATTCACAATTACATGTGCTCTGGAAGGAAACTCAGCTAAGCAAATGTAATGTCTTTCTGCTTGCAGGTTTGATTCATACAGAAGCCTTTACTTAAACAAGTAACAATAGAAAAGCAATAAATATAATGCCTTAATTGTTTCTCCTTCAGGGGTTCTGTAACTGAGTTAAGTGTATGAGTGAGTTTATAGTATTTAGGATATGGCTTCTCTTGATGGTTTCTGTTCTTGGCTTGTAAACTCTGTCAGAGCAGTGACTATCTCTTCCTTGCATTCCATGAATGTATATATTTATTTTAGGCACCACAGAAAATTCAAAGAAAAAGCTCTGGTCTAACCCCCACAGATTCTACTCATGAGTTTTTCTTACTGTGCAGATGGTTTGGTGCCAAACTAGGCACACTCTTGACTCTTTGAATGGGGCATGTTGTCACTATCCACACAGTCTCACCACCACGGTCCATCTCCAATACCCTATCTTTAGAAGGCATTAGAGTGATAGGAGCACTGGGAGGGATTCTCAAGTCCAGTCCCAGGCCTCCAAGTAAAAGAGATAATGGTTTTTCTAAAATATGTTTTTATTGATTTTAGAGAGAGAAAAGGAGAAGGAGAGAGAGAGAAACATCTATGAGAGAGAAACATTGATGAGAGAGTAACATTGATCGGCTGCCTCCTGCACACCCCCTACTAGGGATGTAGCCCACAACTCAGGCATGTACCCTGACTGGGAATCGAACTGGTGACTTCTTGGTGCATGGGAGGATGCTCAGCCAGCTGTGCCACACTGGCCGGGGCAATGAGATGATGTTTTTAATGCAAAATTTAAAATCTGTCTACCTTAAATGTCTATTATAACAAAGGGCTATTTGAGAAGTGAATGGTGTATGTCTGAGAGGGGCCATGAAAGTGAGGACAATAGCAATATAGCCCATTGGAATGTGTTTCAAACAGTGTGGAGAAAGTGAATGAGTGCAGTCACATACTAGCTGTGTGACTTTTTGCAAATCACTGAACCTCACTCCCTAAGCCACTGGTAGAACAGGAGTTCAGATCCCCAAGTTTGTGACATCAAGGTTCCCTCCTTTTAGAACATCATGAGTGCTCTTAACCAATTCTTACTAAATATAATCAAGGAAGGCATACATATGGGAGTGAGGTGGAGGGAAGACTTTAAGACAATATGTGTGATTCCTGCCGTCACTTTTATAATTAAACTTTAATTGTGATTGGTAAACTTTAGAAATCCTATTAGGATTGAAGTAATCCTCAGATCCCTACTGTAGGTGATTCTCTCTTCATCTGTCCATCTTACATAGGCACTTATTGTTTCCTATTTGTGAAGCACCCTCTGAAGATGACATGACTGTGTGGAAACTTTCATCCAACAAAATACTTTAACTACTATGTTTCTTTAATGTCTTAAGAAGGTCTGTTAATTTTCACTCTCTTCTTTTTAACCCTTTGCGGTCATATGTCTGCTCTCAGCCACCACAACAAGGAACCGGACGAATCTTAACTCTATTCATTCATGTATCAGTTCATAATTTCTCTGAAAGCTCTTAATTCCGACCAGTACAACACCCATGTCCAAATGCCGAGAAAATTAAATGAAATTAAAAATGCCTGGAAAAGCGATCGGTAATATTTATTATTAACTAGCTATTTATCCTCAGCTTGACCTTTAAAGTGACAGTTTTTCCTGGATTGAATTTCCTTAAAACCACTGCCAAACTATCTAAAGTAAAGTTGAAACAAGATGTTTTACCTATTTTTATTTTAAAGAACATCTGAATTTAAAAGATGAATCCTAAATTAGTCCCACCTACCTAGTTTCTAAAACAAAGGCCTTCATTGTTCTCAAAAAAGGTGATTGAGGCTCAAGAGAAAAGAAAACTGAACAAAGACCGTGAGCATTCTTTTTTAGAAAAACAGCAATGTAATACACTGTGAATCATTGTTTAAACTAAATTAATGGTAGCCCAAAGGAACTGTTTTCACCACTTAACTCAGCTAATAGTGATTTTGTGTGAATGTAGAAACACTGGGAATTATGATACTGGCACATCTATTGATGCAGTTACTACCAGGCATATAGGTAGGAGAAAAGGAAAGATTTGGGTTTTTCTTCTCATGCATTGTTTTAATTGGCTGCGGATTTCACTTTTTTCTTGTGTTCATTTTCGTTTTTACTTTACCTATCTCAATGTAAAAAAATATTATCATCTGATTGTCATCTTATTTCACATTAAGGTTTTTTGTCTTGTTTTAAGATCTATGAGGCTTTCATGATGAATACTTTATATTTTTGTCTCTTCTGTGGAATTGTAGAAGGTCTTAATTGACAATGGAGGAGCTCCTGTATTACACATGAAGGAAAAATCTAAATTTCAAAGTACTATGGAGGAAATTTTAGCATATCCCTTATAAAATTAGCATTAACTAATACTGGAAATTGTTGAATGTCATATCCACTGACTTTGGCCTTCCCAAGTTCCCCATCACCATCAGCTCATGGCAACTGTTCATAGTATTGTTGAGTTCATTTCTTGGGGGACACTAGCAGAACTGGAACAGTTGTTTTTGTTCTTTGCTAATCTATGGACCCTGGAGGAGATGAAAGGTGTGAGAACCATATATGTCAATTTATGCTCCCCAGTGTGATTAATCCAATCAATTGATTTTAAAATCCAGCAAACAAAACATTGGAAGCAAATTCACAGAAATTCTAAGATATAATATCTTTATAAATAGTTCATACAAATTAACACTAAAAGTGCTATAAACACAATTAAGCAAAAGATGTTATCAGACAATTTACAAGTGATAGAATTATAAACAGTTTAAAAATCTATGCAAAAGTGTTCAACCTCATTATAATCAGAGTAATGCATATTAAACAATAGATTAGCATGTTGTGTTTTTTATAAGCAAAGATTTTTTTTTAAGTTAGATCAGCCTGTTAAAGAGAAGCACTACTAGGAGGAAAGCGAATTGACATCGCTCTTTGAAAAGCAACTTGGTAATAATGAGACTTAAAATGTTCATAACCTCTTACTCAGTAATTCCAATTCTAGGAATCTTTCCCAAGAAAATAATCCTAAGTATAGGAAAAGCTATAGAGATGTTCATCTTTCTGACATTTAAAATATTAAAAAAAACTGGACACAACATAATTGCCCAACAATAAACAAGTAACCAAGTAAACTATAATTAACCCATAGATGTTATTTTGTGCAATCATGTACAATAATTAGACAGAAATTATTGTAAAAAGAGAAATAGTTATAATGTTTGTGAAAAAAGATGGATTATAATTTTAGGTACATTGTTATTTCAGTTGTGAATAGCAAGCCATGTAGAATATAAAGAAATAAAAATTGAAAATACAATGTACTTTTAAGGAGATAGGAACGATGTAAATTTTTTTTCTTTTTGACATATATTTCACAGTTTTCATCTTTACTAAATATGCATGTTTTCTCTTACCACAGAGAAATAAAAAGTACATAAATGAATAAAAGAGGAATAAATCATCGACATGGAAGAAGTAGAGCTACTCGGTGTGGATTCAGCTCTCACAATCCGTTCCACAAGTGATGGCATTTCACTGGCCTGTGCAAAATTGTCATCTCTCTGAATGTTAACAATTGGATTGACTTCTGAGGAGTTAATATAGTTGCTAAACTCTAAAGAATTAGAATGTGATTACTCCTAACTTGCTTTATAACTGAACTTAACTAAAGAGGAATGTGTATGGTCAATGAGAGTTTCTTTAAAAATGGCAAATCCTTTAAATGCCATAATTATAAACAACAACAACAAAAAACACTGAACAGCTACAACTAGCTTTATATTATAAAACACTTCTCAATTCTTTCTTTTAAGAGAAAATAGTCATTTACACTCATTAATAAATTAAAAATACGTTCTATTTATGGTTAGAGGGTTATGTTCTAAGGGTTATCTCACATTTTAAAAATAATGTGTAAACTAATTTACTTTCCAAATCTTAAGGGTCTTTGCTGGAGACTCAGAGATTATTAAGTGAAATTTTAGGCATAGAAATGGAAAAAAAGAATTAAAAATACCACTTACCTGACATGCTTCTTTCCTCAGAGAAATCCTTATGTAGCCATAAGGCAAACACATGGATTAAATATACTCCTACAAACTTTGTTTCTAAGGATGTTGCTTTGCTATGTTCAAGAAGTGTGGCAGTAAAACTTGTCTTTGTCTCTGCCTCGCTTTTTTCTCTTGTGTGTTTCTTAAAATCTTTCCTGTGTACTCTGTTCAGTTACAAACAGGAAATGTGGTGATGGAGGCTTCTAGACTTTTGATGTGAAACTAGCAGGCTCTGAAGATTTTGTGTAACGTGAGAAAAATCCCACGATGCTCTGTACTCTGGTATTTAAATTTTTATCAACACCTAAACCTCATTTAACACTAAACAATGAAATCAAGTTACAAATTCCACTAGGAGGGATCTCCAAACTTTCTAGAGAGAATGCAGGGATCTCCTCACTAATGAGTTTACATAAAAATAAAATAAAATGTACTAAACTGGGGAGGAAACAGTGAGAAGCCCCCAGGTGTGCTGAGCTGTCTGTCGCGCTTCCTTTGACGCATGTCAGAAGAGGGGGCATTGACGCTGTTTGAACGCACTGTGTCAGCTGCCTTCTCTGCATTATTCCACCAGGCTAGGAAAATGAGTGCCCCCTTCTCTCCTGCCAACCCTCACCTCAGCCAGCGCGGGTCCCTTTGATCAATCTAGGCCACTCGGCAACACGCTGCGGCTCCCAATCCCCACCCCAGAGTCTCAATAATCAGAAGTTTTAAAATGTTAGTGAGCGTAAGTGTGTTATGTGGTACCGATTTAACATGTATATTCTTGAGGCCCTCTAAATCAGAATACTTGGAGAGGAGCTCAGGAGCCTGCATTTCCACAAGTCCCCCTGGTTATTTTAATGCAGGCCTTCTGAACATGTTCTGAGAAACTCACATGTATATCAATGGTAGCATTTTATTTTTAACATTAATCAGATAAAGGTTGCCTCAGTGGCATGTACGTATATGGCTTGTATGTGTTCCTGTGTATGTACATCTGCAGCGCGTTGTGTGCCTGTGCATATTTGCTTATGTAGTCCACGGGTTTTCTTTAATTATAGAAGAATGACAAGCCTGAATCCAGTTTATTACAAAAGGAGATGTACTTAAACTTTAAGGGAAACTTAGAAATGAGAATTGATGCACAGACTCAGAGCAAAGGTATTAAGATAGACGGCTGGCAGGATATTTTACTCTGGCTGATTTCTCTAAGATTCTGGGGGGCAGGGAGAGTATTGATCTTATCCATCATCAAAATTCCAGCCTCTAGAATAATGCCTGGCACACTGTAGTTCTCAGTGAATATTCCCACAATGACTGAACAGGGAAAGGAATGTTAGCCTTCTGCTTTCTCCTCGCTTCGTTACAGAAGGCAGCTCCCTAGTAACCAAAACGCAGGGCTTCCGTACCCTTTGGGCAGAGTTGACTAAATGCTAACAGAGTTTTCTATTTCAATCGCTTTCTCCAAAAACATGCCTCGTGAATCATTGAATCAGAATCTGTAAAACTGAAAGAGACCTTGGAGGTTCCTCATCTAATCTCACTTAAAAAACAAAATCAAAAAAGCACTTTCAAAAGGTGTTCAGAAGGGCATGCAGGCCCGCTGCACACAGCAAAGAATCAGAAGGTGGCAGGTGGCGTGCGGCGGGCCTGGGTGCCCACAGACCAAGAGCTCAAGGGAACAGAAGTCTCAGGTTCCTGGAGAGACCAAAGGACAACAAAAAATCAGAAGGCTCCGTTCAAGAATAAGGCAGAACACAGGAACGGAGGCTGCTGAAAAGCTGAAGCCCAGACTTCAGGTAGTTTTGAACACCTGAGATATCCGCTTAAGAGGAGAAGGCCCAGCTCTGGGGCAGCCTTGAGGGTTGAGTTTTGGTCCTGAAATAGGAGAACTGGCAAGGAGAACAGGAGCCCCAGGCTCAAAAAGGACCTGCACGGATTACCTAAACCAGACCTTGGAGCATGGACAACGTAGATGCCCTCTTATAGCAACTGAGACAGACCGAGAGCATACATGGCAGAGAGAAGTGGTCTCAGGACTGGAAATAGATGCAGGCACCCCCTGGTTAGAACAAGAGCAGTGCAGAGGATGAATAGGGAAGATCAGGATACCTCCATTTTTCTCTGCAGCCAAAGCCAACTACTGAACACCCTTACTGTTTCTGGATAAAGCACAAATCCAGGAACAATAAGGGTGTTCAATAGTTGGCTTTGGCTGCAGAGAAGGTCAGACTCAGTAAGAATGATTCAGGTAAAAATGCAGGAATTCTGTGGATAGTCCAGGAGATAGGTGTACCTCTCAAGGCAGCCCCAAAGGGAGGGAGAGTCAAAGTAAATCCAGCCGTTGGGACAGTGCCTGAAGCTGCCTAAGGGCTCCTCTGCCTCAACTCTGTGAGATCTGGGGAAGGCAAGGGCAGAAGAGACGGGCAGAGACAGAGAAAAGGTATACTGTCCCTCTTCAGGTCAATAAAGCAGTCTGTGGTACACATTTTAATGGCTTCAAAGAGTTAATAAACATGATTGGTATCTCCAAAATATTAAAACTTAGGCCGATAAACCCTAACCACTTCACAATTTCCAATTATAATATTTTTTAAAAGTGATCTACATTATAATGTCCCCCCATTCCATAGATTTATATAATCCAGAGATAGAGCAAGATTGTCCAAGGTCACACAGAAAGTTTGTAATTGTGCACTAGATAGCTCCACAGAAGTTTGAAATTTGCTGGGGGGTGTGGGTGCAGGGATGATAGCTTTTCATCAAATATAGATGGTTGAGCACATAGAGACATTATCATAAAAAACCACACAGATATATGTTAGTGAGAGCATTCAGAGATTTGAGTAATAGCTTCATGAGCATATTCAAATGATAAATAAACATGAGGCTTCTGTAGTACTTTTTAATAGGATGGGTTATCAAAATGAAGTGTATAAGATAGCTAGACTCAGCAGAACTGTCCTGACAGTTAGAAATGTTGTAGGAAATTTTGAGAGAAGTTATGTGGTTTTGATGAGCACCTGTCAAGAAAGGAGAATTTTAAGGCCAACAAAATTGAGATTTTGTTGCCAAAAAAAATTAAAAACATATCAGAATGGCAGCTGCCAGTCAGAGTTTCCACACTCAGAAAAAACAGGTCATAGAGTATAAAAAGAATCCCAGTTTTCAAATCTCTTTTTTTATGGCTATCTATTATTTTTGTAATTAATCTTTATCATGATAGTATATTTATTTATATCTGTGTGTATATATATATACACATATGTATATAATATACACATATATTATACACAGGCTCATATATATTTTTCTTTTTTCTTTTTTTAATGCAAGGGGTTCCAAACTATAAAGTGTAGTTTTCAGCAAGGGATTATCTGGGACTTTGACTTTACACTTTATATGTTTATCTATTGTTTAAGTTATTTATAATAACATGCACAACTCTTATAGTTGTAATAAAGGATGCTTCCTTATTTTAAAGACCCTTTAAAATAACATTGTTCTATAGAAACAGAATTTATTTCTCTGTGTGGTTTTTCTTTATTCCGATGAATCATTCCTTAGTAAAACCAAAGCTAGTACAAAATAAACAAACACCTTTAGACAGGAAGGACAGGGTCCCTGTGCTTCAAATTATGCTGTTTTAAAATGGGAAATTATTGCCCGGCAGGGCATGGCTCAGTGGTTAAGCGTCGACCTAGGATCCAGGTGATCAAGGTTCGATCCCTAGTCAGGGCACATGCCCGGGTTGTGGGCTCGATCAATAACTCTCTCATCATTGATGTTTCTATCTCTCTCTCTCCCTCTCCTTTCCTCTCTGAAATCAATAAAGATATATTTAAAAAAAAAAAAAGGGGGAAATTATTCAAAATTAATTATGGTGTTACAATTGTACTTGATTATAATATATTGATAATTCATATTTTCATTGTGTTTACACTATAAGATCCTTCAGAAAAAACTTAATTATTCAGATGGAAAAGAAAAAACAAGTTAAAAGCAATAGAACAATGCATAGATTTGGCATAATAGTCTCAGATATTTTTATTACATTTATTATAGCCTTACAGAACCAGAATTCTTAAGATATAAAACACAAAAACAATAGAGTAGATAATAAAAATTTAGAAACAAGAGAGAGAAATGGCTAATAGCAGGAATAGCTTATTTTCCTTCATGGGAAAGGCTTAAGTATCCAAATTTTCTAGAAGAAAATAATATGCCCCAGTACAGATTTTTATGTGATGTTCTATTTCTCTCTCCCTCTTCCTTCCTCTCTCTGAAATCAAAGGTATATTTTTTTAAAAAAAGTAAAGAAAACCTTGGTGGATATTAAGGGAGAGATCAACAGCAATACAGTCATAGTAGGGGATTTTAACACCCTGCTGACATCAGTTGATGAATCTTCCATACCAAAAATCAACAAAGCAACAGTGACCTTCAACATCACAGTGGATCAGATAGATTTAATTGATATTTACAGAACATTTCATCCCAAAGCAATAGAATATACATTCTTCTCAAGTGCACATAGTACATTCTCAAAGATAGACCACATGTTAGGACACAAAATAAATCTTAATAAATTCAAGAAGATTGAAATCATATCAAGCATCTTTGACCACAATAGTATAAAACTAGAAATCAATTACAATAAAAAAAACTTAAAAACATTCAACACATGTAGGCCAAATAACATATTATTAAACAATGAATGGGTTAACAATGAGGTCAAAGGAGAAATTAAAAGTTACCTGGAAACAAATGAAAGGGAATATACAACAATCCAAAATCTATGGGACACAGCAAAAGCAATACTGAGAAGGAAGTTCACAGCATTAGAGTCCTACCTCAAGAAACAAGAAAAATCTCATATAAACAATCTAACCCTACACTTAAAAACAACTAAAAAAAAGAACAAACAAAGCCTAGAGTAGGTAGAATGAAGGAAATAATAAAGATTAGAGAGGAAATAATGACATAGAGACTAAAAAAAAAAATTATAAAAGATCAATGAAACCAAGAGCTGGTTCTTTGAAAAGATAAACAAGATAGACAAATTTTTAACCAGACTTGTCAAGA